TACCCAAGAAAAAACAATAAAAACAATTTTTTCTTTACCTTTTCTTGTAGGATACAAGAATGACTCTCTACAATGCATCTTAAGAAATGACAATGTGAGGTGCAGAATGAGCTGGAAACAGCCTCTGTTTATTAGTTATATAACTTTTAAAATATTCCTCAATCTTTCTTAGTATCAGTTTCCTCACTCATAAATCTGGGACATAATAGTAATTGTATGTATCTTACAGTGTTGTGACAGTTCAATGAGATAATGTAAATTAAAGGGTGCATAGTGTAAGGGTTAAAGGATAAGTTTTCTTTGAAGCAGGGAGGCAGTTGCCTCTTCATCGTACCCTCTTCAGTGTGTTTTCCTCTTTAGTGTGTCTTCTCAAAAACATATAGGCCTGAATAAAAGACCCAAACTTTTGACTTTCCAATTCAAGACTGGGGACTTCTGACCATTAAAACTATAAATGTATACCTCCAGAATTAGCTTAGGGGTCTCTCTCACGGGATAAATAAAAAGAGCTGCATCCATATCTACCAAGAAGATAGAGAAGTTGTGACTGCTCATTCTTCTCACTTTACTGTGTATGTGTATGAAATTCTGTTCAGACTTCATAGTCACTTTTATGTCACTTAATATACTCCATAAAATATTGTTATCTCTCTTTCTTTTAAATAGGTACAGAGGGATCTTTTGTTAGAATTGTTTTATTTCTCTATCAATTAAAAATTATAAAGTATCAAACAACTGTTAATTGTTGAGGTTGTTATTGTAATTATTATAATTATGATCATTTCAGGACCACAATGATATAAAATTATAGCAATTATCTATATGAAAATAAAATAAAATACTTTTATCTTTAACTAATTGGATAATTACTGCAAAATGCTTTTCCCAAAACTCAGCTGGATATATACATTTTTCCTTTGCCTCAAATTTATTTTTACTGTATATCAATGCCAAGAGCAAAAGTATAAAAGTTCCCAAATTAAAAGTTATTAAATTTTAGAACTGTCAGACTCCAGTAATAAAAGACAATTTTTTTGTTATACTAGGAGTTTGTATACTTTAAATGAAAAATACATGACAAGTTTTTAAATACTCTAAATGCTATATACCAGCATTAAAGAGGAAACAACATATATATATACCAGCATTAAAGAGGAAACAACATATAGAGTAGTCCAACGAATGCTAAAGATGCTTTGAAATTTTATGCAATAATGTAATCTAAAACAGACATTAGTAAATGATCTACATTATGCGTAAATTAGCTATTATAATTAAATGCAATATATGCTTTTAAAGACTTAAAGATCAAACTTAAGATGTCTAAAATCAAATTCGTTCCTGCCTCCCATTACCACCACTACCGTCTTCAAAAACTCCCTCTTTCTATTGACTTTCCTATGTCTATAATGGCACCCATGCATTTTCAGTCTTGAAGGTTCTTTCTTTAATGCTACCCAGTCGTGGGTCAAGTCTATCTTCTGTGCTTACTTTACCACACTGCCCACTACAAAATAATACAATTCTCTATTGGTCATGCTCACCAGACTGTTTTTATGAAATCTTGAACATCAGCATTTTGCTCTGTCCTTCTTATCATCTATCCTTTCATCTGTTATTTGGATGAAACCAAATGAATCACCTTTTATTTTGTATTAAATTTTTTTTGAGACAGTCTCACTCTGTTGACCAGGCTGATCTTGAACTCCTGGCCTCAAGTGATCCTTCTGCAACAGACTCCCAAAGTGCTGGGCTAACAGGCATGAGTCACTGCTTGCCATGAGCCTAGCCTGCCAAATAAATCTTGGTTGAATAAATTAATAAATGAAATTCCATAGATTATATGCCTATGATTTCTTTTCCATTTATTTTCTACTTTTAATTTCCAGTATTTCTATGTTAGTTTAGGTTCTTAGTCCTAACTGCCTTCCCCAACTATTATGCTTACTCAACATTTAAAGAATAAATACATCTTAACAGAGCACTGCTTCTACTTTTCATTCCTGGTTCACAAATGCCCATTGACCCCCATCTGCCCTCAAAAGTATCTATCATCAAAAGAACATATCCCAGTCTGACATTCTTTTCTTTCTACAACCTAATTTCAACAATTGCTCTGGCTACCTTCCCCACACACCACGTTATCAATTCGCTTACATGCAACTTTAAGAAAACAAATAAATTTAGCATCTTACATAATTTTCCTGAGACATATGAAGTCAAACTTACAGCATATGGAGAAAAAAATTTCATGGCAGCATAAATCCCAAAATTTAAGGAAGAAAGGAGAAACTGTTGCTATTTAACCGTTCTCTAAAGTGGCCCTTCTAGCTTAACAATGTATCACAGTATTGAATCAAATATGGTCAAATCAAACATTAATTTGATTTTTAAAAGCTAACACAAAACGTGTTCATATTACAGTATTACCTCTTGTGCTGAATAATATTTTTTTCAATACATTTTAAAATACACACATCAACCATCAATCACAATGGGCAGTTTTAGAAACTATCCTTAGTTTATTTAACAGACCATTATACCATTATGAAAATATATATTAATGCTTTATGTGTTGGCTTGTTGAGTGTTCCCCAGCAGAGGTTTCTGTTGTAAATTTCCTGCCCATTCCTTCCTCTTGCCCTTTTCTGTACTCTGGTTTCCCATGCAAAAATTCAGACCATTTCCATATCACCTACCAATCCCAGAGCTTTCAGAAGACCTTGGTGACCTGAAGATTTTTACTCTTAAAATGACTCCTGGACTTTCCAAATGCGATTCCAAACTCTGAGACCAGTTCGGAATAGATTAACTTCTTTCCCAGATTCCTGAAGCATTGCCTTTCAAGAGAGAATCTGACTATGGAGGATGACCTGGTCCTCCCAAGCAATACCTTAGGAGAGCAGGAAGGGCCAAACCAAAATTTGCCTAAGAGAGATTACAAGTCCCTGCCAGTCTTCAGTTGACTAGCCATTTGTGTCTAGGTCAGCCACCACTGTATTTTCAAAAGACATAAGCACAGATGACAGGGAATGGAGAATTCTAAGAAACATAAAATTTTATTTTAACTGGTTAGCAATACTTATTGAAAATCTTTGGTAAAGGTAATAAATTGGCTAAGTCCCTGACCGTTTTTAAAATTTATTATTATCATATATATATATATATACACACACACACACACACACACACACACACACACACACACACTTTACTCTGTTATCTCAATAAATGGTGCCCATTTTTTTCTTAGCTATTCTTTTTCTTTACTAGTCCTATTTTGTTAATTCTGCTCCCTGCATCATGCAGCGACCCTCTAAGTTTCACTCTTCCTGAAATAAAGTCATTGGTTTCTCTCCTTTCTACCTAAAGTCTATGAAGGGAGATACACTACTTTTGTTTGTTCTCTGGGGAGGACAAAAGGAACACAATTACCTCTTTCCTTTTGTAATCTTTAAGGGTCCTGTCCTGAACTACTAACAGAAATCATCAAAAAGAGGTTGTTGGAATAATTTATGATCATTCATTGAGAGGGACTCCCTGACTTCCTGCTTTGTCTCCATTTTCTTAAGAGTACCAGGTTCTGCATAGTTACAACCTAAATGCTATTAAGCAAAGTATGACCCTTCTGGTTTTGTGTGTACTTCCTAACATATGAAGATAATAATTTCATCTAACATTTTAATATACCTGTTCAACTCTAGGACCTATGGTCTCTTCTAGCATTAAGTTTCAGGGAAAAGAAGTGCATGTGTTATCTGTGCTCTGTTTTTGCAGCAACACCCAAGTCTCTCTATTCTGAGAAATTAAAACAGCACACTTCAATTGGCAATTAAATATTTTTATGATAATAGCTATATTTAGCATAGATTATAATGTTATTTGTAGTGTGTAGTACATTACTAGCAGGATTTTACACAGGGGAAAAAATCCCAGTTTCTAAATATATGTTACCAACATGTAGACATGATGGAAACAATTAAAAAACATCATGTATCATGGATGTAGCCTGATACAATTTTCATCATGAATTATTTTAAATACAAAATAAATACATTCAGGGGAATACACACTGATAGTCATAAACACAAGGGTTATATATTAATATAATATGTAAAATCTACATAGTTTGGAAAAATTCTTTTCAATTTTGTATGTGGATTAAAGTGTCTTTTGAGGTAATTAAGTTTTTGAAAGACTAGATATCTCCACAATAGATACTAATATCAAATTTTTTAAATCCATAACAAGGTTCCTAGCTTCTAAGCTAAAAATCATATGCCTCATAAAAATTGTGGAAGGAACTGTGTAAGTACAAACCAAAGGCGAAAAGAAAATAAATAAACCCATATAGACATAGACATTCCCCCAGAACAAAATCCATTTGAGGCAATCAACCAAAAATCCTGAAAGGTATACACATTGCACATGCCTTATGCTGAAAAGTTGAAGTACCAGCACCAGACAGAATAGCTACATTAATTGCTCTTTCCTCAAAAATGCCTTTTCATCATATTATAATGAACTAAAAAACCACACCACTTGCATACTTCTAAATGGATTTTTAAAATATGTATGCATAATTGAAAAAGGACATTTACAAACCTAAAATGAAATTTCATCACTTTTGGTGTTGAAGAAATATAACTTGCTTACACATACAGATTTTTCTGTGAATATTTTTTCTCTCTCTTTATGGAATTTTAGGTTTAAATGCACAACAATCTAGGGTAAATACATTAAATGCCAAAAGCATATAATACATTCTTTTTGCTTATCTGATTTTACCATGCTCCTGAGATTTTAGATGGATATTTCAAAAGTACCTAAAATTTTTCCTCAAGTTTCTGATCTGGTCAAACCTTATAACAACTGAACTAGGAAAACATTGGCATTTATCAGTCTCCTCCTGTCATTCTACTGCTTCATGGGACAGTCTTTAACAAGACTTAGACAAACCTCATTCATCAATATTCTACTCTGGAGGAGCTGACACTTACTGTGAATTCTGCTCTTCAACTTAAATACCAATGTCTGTGGCAGGCCAATTCTATCATTGCAGATCCAGCATCCCTCAGGCGAGGTCCAACCTTTCTCTCGAAGTGCACCCAGGGATTAGTCTGACTTCCCCTAAATTCTCTCCTCTGCACAGTAAGAGCTAATCTTTCCTGTATGAAGCAGGAGATGGTGTTGCTATGACAACGGAGCACATTCTAGCAGTGGGACTACTGAGATGAGCCTTCAAAGACTCAGGGAAACATGCACTCAGTCTTCCTCCGGGGCTATGGGCTCCTTCCTTGAGGATTTAATCTCCCAACAAGTTTTCTGTCAGACTGGGTTGTTGATTATCTGTGCATTTTGCTACAGGGAGATCACTGGTTAAGAACATGGCTGGAAGATCACAGTTATTTAATAAAAGTGCCATTTTCAGTTTTAATAATTTTTCAGTTTGAATACTCAGTCTTTGTTAAAACACTACCCCCATTTAAATTAAAAGCATTTTGCTTACTTTTAGATTTTTAAAAATGATTATAATGAGTTGAGAATGGCACTGTCAAGGAGAAGCTTTACCTTTTTTTTGTTTGTATATCATCACCATTGTATCAACTTGAAGGTTACATACAGACACACACACACACACACACACACACACACACACACATCCATTTTCTCTCTCCAGCGTCAACGTCTGGAGCCTTGAGGTTTCAGGGTGGGGGAGGGGTATGCTAACAAAAGCAAATCCTGCAGCCACATTTTGCATACATATCTTAGCCACAGAATAACCACAATAAGTGCTAATCATTTAGAAAAATAATTACAAGTGGAATTTAAGTGCCTGTGCCACAGCAGAAGCGATCTAGTATCAAGCCATAACGTAGGAGGGCAGATTTCATATGTTATTTTCAAACATGACAGTTAAATTTTTTGGAAAATAACAAACACATACATTAATATATACATATTAAACAGTTGATAGCACACTGTAATCGTTCTGACTGTTTTGAACATTGAACATTCATTTTTCTTCAGAAACATTGCTGCGATTCAAACGACTACATCCTTTTCATTGGAAGGAAAGATACAGGGCAGGAAAAGTTTTCCCCCGCAGCAGAGGTTCAGTTTACTCAATCACCCTGAGTCAGGTGCTCACCCAGGGAGTCATCTGACCTGTCCTCTTTACTCCTTAATTTCCCTGTAATCTTTTCTATTTCTCAACCTTTCATGTGAGGAGCATGCATACCACCCTTCCCCCACTGACTGCAATTATTCTCCTTTGTGGCTGAAGCAATAGAATCTATATCATCTACATCTATGCTTTCAAGTGCTGAGAGCAAACAGGACTTTATGGATGTCGCTGTCACTCAGAGGTGTGAGGATCTACATGATAGTTAGATTCAATGCCACATTGGCCTTCTAGAAAATCATAGGGCTATCTTTAGTTACTTCTTGCTTGTCACCCTAATGAGTTTGAAAAGCTTTACGATATTAACTAGAATCTCATTATTGCACATAATGCATGTATTTACATTTAGTAGTTCATTTAAAAGAGACGGGGCATTTTAAAACTTATTTTGATTTGTATTTTTTATTTCCATCATAGTAAAAAGTGCAGTTAAATTTTTGCTAATGTGTGCCTTGGAATATATCTCCAGGATACGTATGTACCCATTTCACAATATATGCAGATAATTTTTCCCCTTATGATCCTCTTTTCAGAGCTTGCCCTGAAGATGCATTCTCATAATTCAAAAAGTTATAGCACCTGTTTTCATTATGTTCATTATTATCTAATTAGTAAAGGGTGTTTTTTTTGAAAAAAAAATTCACTCTTACATTCAGGGAAACTGGATAAATGCCAACACATGTAAACAACACATGGTTTACTTTCAAAATCAATCAACCAGAATTATTTATTTCTAAATAATTTCTTAGTTAAAAATGTGTTGAAATAATTTACTGCTATAATAGATAACGTTTACTATCTGCTATTCCTTTAGGACTGACTACCTGGACATCAATCATATTATATATTGTCTAGCTTCCCCAAGAAGACAATATTGTTTGTAGGAAAAATTATTTAAGTAGTTATGGTGAGTGTGCCACAACTTAGATTTGGATGTTAAAAGTGAGTTATAAACAACTAAGGCTATATGAATTCCAGAAATCACTACTGCAAGAAATTTAATAGTTTTAAAAATTTTTTCTCATGTATTATTTTTATGAGTCCTAATTTTTCAACATAATATTCAGTAGATCTGGTAAATTGCAATAATATGTTTGTCTTAGGGGAAATAGGAAAAGTGAGAATAGGAAAAACAGCTCTTTTCACAAAACAAGTTTTAAATATAAACCCCAAGACAGTTCTGAGTAAAAAGACTGAAATATTGGAGCCTATAGTAAGGGGAGCAAATGAGAGGTTGAGAACAATTTTTTTCTAAAACGCCGCCTTTCATGGAAAGGCTTGAATATGGCCTCTAGACTTTGTCTAGACACTGAACACAAACTCTAATGACAAACTGCATTACTAATCTCTCTGTTTCAGTTTTCTCACCATCAGAATGGACATAATAATAGCACCTTTATGAGAATTCAAGGAGTAAATATGTATAAATTTCTCATAATAATGCCTGACATATTGAAAATACTATGTAAATGTTAGGTGTCATTTAGGACCTTGAAGACAGGGATTAAATATTATTCAGCTTTGTCTCCCCTGTTCTTAATACAAAGACTGCTATCAGGTATATACTTAATAAATGAAAGGTATTTTTCATAAATCTATATGATTGTAATATTTAAGAAAGCAAAGTGAACAGACAATACTTTAGAATTCTAAATGTATCAGAAGAAAAATATAAATCTTTCTACATAATTATTATTGGTATATAAAATTCAATAAATGAATATGTATTCAAGTAATCAATGAAGTACATTTTAAATATATCATGTTCTTTTATGCTCATTATATTTTAAAAATTATTTGCTAAACGATAAGTAAACAACATAAGTAGGATTATCTTTGACTGGGAATAACAATAACATATCCTTTAGTTTTATAACAGAATGAGTGATCACTTATTAGAAAATTGATTTAGCATCTGCTTTAGTAGATATTGTAGTAGGTGCTGGGATACAAAGACTTAGACCACTATGCCTGTCTTCACCGAGTGCACAGTTTAATGCGGGAAGCGTACACTCACTCAGCATAGTCTGTGTGCCAGGCACTGCTCTGGGTGCTGGAGATATGACAGTGAACCAAACAGAGAGAAATGTCTACTATAAGGAAGTTTCTCCCTGCTAGTGTGTGTGTGTGTGTGTGTGTGTGTGTATGTTTTCAGGCAGGGGAAATGAATATATTTTAAGTATAAGTGCTTCAGAGGAAAATAAATTCAAATTTTGGAAAAAGAAAGGCAGTAGAAATAGGTATAAAATTTTATTTTAAACAGATACATTTAATGCAAATTGATAAGGGCCATAAAAGAGCCACAAAGAAAGCACCATGCAACTAGGAAAAAGAGTGGCTAACACTCTCCTAAGGAATATGGGAAGGTTTCATAGAGGGAGTAGTCAAAATCTAATGAGGATTAAATATGTAAAAAGGTTCTTACCTATATATTAACCAGTATTTACTCACACCATCTATATAATTTAATATCTAATAAAACAAAGTCAATACATAGTATCTAAGGATACTAAAGTATCAGGAGAGAAATAGAAATTAGTCTAATAACAAATCCATTACAGGTTTACAATGTTCAAAAATATTCCTTTAGTTAAAAAACATGTTATTCCAGCAAATGGAGTAATACATGGCTGATCTATAAAAGTAAAAGTAAATTGCTCTTACTTTTGACACCATTGTCTTTTTTTTTTCCTAAGATAAAAAACAACTAAAGAAGCATAACTATAACTCACTTTATTTGTACAGCAAAATAAATTCCAGCTGGCTTAAACATTTAAATCTTTTTTTAAAAGCTGTACAAGTACTGAAAGAAGTTAAGGAAAATGTTTTAAACACAAACATAGAGGAAAACAAACTTTGGAGTATCTGTCAGATAAATAATTGGCTGTTTGGTCCAGAAATCTACAAATCTATTTCCACACTTTTAAATTATTTGTTAAACAATCATTTATTCAGCAGCAGTCATGTGCAAAGTATTAGGAATAGAAAGAAAAATAAGATAGTATTTAATTTCTGGAAGCTTATGGTCTAGTATTATAGTACAGATGGACAAAAACATAAGATTTTACCATTCAAAGTGCTAATTATTTTTATAAAATTATACACAGAATGCTATGACAGAATCTAGGAGAGAACTTTTTCCTGGTATAGGGAGGTAGGCGTAAGAATCTAACAAGCATGTAGATACAATCATAATGGAATAGACTGGAGCAGTCCAATGTTCCCACTGAGAATAACCAGAATAGCTAATTTTGAAATATAGATGATTAAAATCTATTTAAAGGCATCAGATAGCTAAGAGGTAACTAGGACTTGAGAGCCCCAGATCCCTGAGGGAAGGACATCAGAAAATGTGAACCAACATTCTGGAAGCAGCTTTTTCCCTCAGGGAAAACACCAGTTTTGGTGTGAAAAGAGAGACGAAGAATATGAACATACATTGCTAATAGGCAGATAACTCTTGGAACTCTTAAAATACTGAAGAAAAAATGGATTTCAGATTGAAGATGGTAGCAATGATGTAAATAGTCAAGATTGCAGAGAGAAGGTAGTAGCAGAGAAGTGAGACCACCATTCTATGGATTTGCCTTTAAGGCTTTGCATATTCTTTTTTTTTTTTTTTTTTTTTGGAGACGGAGTCTTGCTCTGTCGCCCAGGCTGGAGTGCAGAGCTCCTCCTCTCGGGTTCACGCCATTCTCCTGCCTCAGCCTCCCGAGTAGCTGGGACTACAGGCACCCGCCACTTCGCCCGGCTAGTTTTTTGTATTTTTTTTTAGTAGAGACGGGGTTTCACTGTGTTAGGCAGGATGGTCTGGATCTCCTGACCTCGTGATCCGCCCGTCTCGGCCTCCCAAAGTGCTGGGATTACAGGCTTGAGCCACCCCGCCCGGCCGGCTTTGCATATTCTTAAATTGCCAAGAGCAAAAGACAAATGAGACAAGCAGAAAAGTGTTGGAAAAAAAAAAATACAGTAGTCTGTGCTGTACTCTCAGTTCTAAACTAAAAAGCCAAAGGCCATTAGGAAGGAAGAGCTTTTATGAGGCATCCTGGCTCTCAGTTGGGACCACCAGTAGGTTAGACCCTATGAGTGGAAGGAAATATATGGAGATAAGAACTAAAACCTGGCATCAAGTCAGTTCAATACTTAATTTAATTCAAATGATCTGTGCCCCCTTATCTGCTGGAAGATGGGAAACTCCAGATAACATTCCTAAGACCCTCTCTATTATCACTCTACTATTTTTTGTACAAATGTCCCAACTTAAGAAACATATTTAAGAAAATAATGCTAGGAATACACAGGAAACAGATAAATGGTAATATCAGTTCTATGCTGATAAATGTTTAATAACCAGTTTCCAAAAAAAGGGTACAATATTATAATTTTACTGATATAAAAGATTTTTAACATGGTTTATGAATTATAAAATATTCAATACTCTATTATAAATTTCATATATCCAATTGATTCTCTCAGAATACTCTCATTGATTTTTACCAAACTATTATATTTGTAGGCAATGACAATCAAGATAACTGCAATTGATGATCAAGCATGCTTCAACATGGATGTGGGTTCATTTTTTTATTTACTCACGTTTATGAGTAAGATGAAAGTGAATGTTAAAGGTGAATACTGGAAATTCACGTACTTGTCAGTCATGCAAGCAAATTCTTTTGTAATTATTTGTAATTACAAAATATTTGTAATTTTATTTATTTGTAAATGCTAGATAGTTGGTATAATTTCAATCATTTTAAAAATGTTAAGACTTGCTTTGTAGCCTAACATGAGGTCTTTTCTGAAGAATGTTCCATGTGCACTTGAGAAGAATGACTGGAGTGTTCTTTATATGTATGTTAGGTCCAATTAGCTTACAGAATTGCTCAAGTCCTCTATTTCCTTATTCATTTTTTGTTTGGTGGTTGTTCTACCCATTATTAAAAGTGGGGTATTGAAGTCTCCTACTATTATTGTGCTGCTGTATGTTCCTTCCTTCAATTCTGCCAATGTTTGCGTCATCTGTTGGGAACTCTGATATTGGGTGCACGAATATTTATAAAATATTATATATTTTCTTGGTGAATTGGCCCTTTTATAATTATGTGATATTTTATTCTCTGTCTCTTCTAACAATTTTTATTTTAAAGTCTCCTTTTTTGATGTTAGTATAGCACCTCTGCTCTTTTTTAGTTATCACTTGCATAGAATATGTTTTTAATCTTTGTGACTCTCAGCCTATGTGTGTCCTTAACATCTAATATGTTAGTCTCCTATAGACAGCATTTAGTTTGATCCTAATTTTTTAAATCCATTCAGCAAATTGTATCTTTTGATTAGGGAGTTTAATCCATTTATATTTAAAGTAATTACTGATTTAGGGAAGGAGATACTATTGCCATTTTGTTAATTGTTTCTGTATGTCTTATAACTCTATTACTTCTCCTTTCCTCTCTTATTGCTTTACTTTTGTCTTTTGTTGACTTTTTGTAATGGCATGCTTTGATTTTCTTTTCATTTCCTTTTGTGTACATTGTTACTGTTGCAATTAGATAAAACATTACAGTTATAACAAAACATTCTATATAATATATGTTATATATTATATTAATATATTCTATATTGCATATTTCCATATTATATATATTTTATATATAACATATTAAACAAATTATAACATTTTATTTTAAACTACTAACAACTTACTGTACTCCTTATTGTCCCCACTTTTATGTTATTGATGTCGCAAAGTACATCATTATGTGTTTTATATCCATTAACATATATTTATATTTGTTTTTATGTTTTTGTCATTTAAATTTTATATAAGAATTAAAAGTAAATTTGTGCACCAAAATTATAATAATACAGGTTACTATATTTGTCATGTAATTTTCTTTACTGAAGTTTGTATTTTCACCTAGCATTCTTTGAAGGACTCACTTTAGCATTTCTTGTCAAGTAGATCTAGTAGAATGAACTTCCTCAGATTTGTCTGATAAAATCTTAAATTCCTGTCCATTTTTGAATTATTTTGTTGGCTGTGGTATTCTTGGTTGATAGCATTTTTTTGCTCTCAACACTTTGAATAATATTATCACACTTCCTTTGGCCTATAAGGTTTCTGCTGATAAATTCTCTGATAATCTTATAAAGGCTACAATGTACATGATGAGTCTCTTTTCTCTTGCTGCTTTCATAACTCTCTTTGACTTTCAACAGTTTGATTGTAATGGGTGTTGGTGGAGTCTCTATGGATTCATCCTGATGGTAGTTGCTTGAGTTTCTTGAACATGTATATCCATTTCTTTCCTCAGATTTGGGAAGTTTTTTTGTCATTATTTCTTCAAATAAACTCTCTGCCCCTTTTTCTCTCTATCTCTTTACTCCTTCTTGAATTCCCATAATTTGTATATTGGTCTGATTGATGTTGCCCCGTAAGTCCCTTAAGTATTGTTCACTTTTCTTCATTCCTTCTTTTTTTTCTCTGCTGTCCCAACCATTTCAAATGTCCCAACTTTAAGTTCACTGATTTTTTTCATCTGCCTGATCAAGTTTGCTATTAAGTCTCTCTAAATATAATTTTTCAAGTCAGCAATTCAGTTATATTTTTT